TTTTAGTGGATGGAGGGGTGGATGGATAGATGTGGTTGGATGGATGGATGTGGTTGGATGGATGGATGGGTGGATGTGGTTGGATGGATGGATGATGGATGGATAGATGTGGTTGGATGGATGGATGGATGGGTAGGTGGATGTTTGGATGGATGCACAGAGAGACAGATGGGAATAGACTTTGGCTGGAGGAGTCCCTGTTAAATGTTTCCCAGTAGGACTCTGGGGTGGGCTGGTGAGCTCCAGGCTTGGCAAGACTGCGAGGGCACAAAGGCCTGTTTGCTCCTGTCTTATGTGTCAGCGTCACTTCCCTGTGGATGCCAGTGCCACACTTTGACCTTCTCTGGGCCTGGTGAGAGGTCCTGCTGCGTGTCTCGTCTGCTCTCCTGTCTCTTTGGGCTCTGGTTTAGTGGGGGCTTGGCAAGTCCTACAGTGCACCCAGCGCTGGTTCTGGGCCTGCAGACCCTCTGGAGGGAGCGCAGGTGGTGCACAGATGGCTGGGCTGGGGGCCCTGGGGGTCCTCAGATGCTGAGACAGAATAACAACGACTCACAGTGGCCTGGAGTATTCTGGGTGTTGTCCTAGCATTTTACAGAGATGACTCTTTAGTCTCCAAACAACCCTATGAGGGGTGTTTTATTATGTCCCCATTCTATGGATGGGGAAACTGAGGCACAGAGTGGTTATTGAGGCTCCAGCTCCAGTAGCCTGGCTCCGACGCCTTCTCTCCACTCCAGCTGCCATGCTCACGCATCTACCCTCCCCTGCAGGATGTCACGATCGGGCCGTCCTGCTCTATGAGTACGTGGGCAAGCGGACCGTGGACCTGCAGCACACGGAGGTCCCTGACGCCTACCGTGGGCGTGGCATCGCCAAGCACCTCGCCAAGGTAGGGCAGGTGGCGGGCCCGCTGGCCAGCCTCAGCCTGTTTCTTGGCCAAAGTGCAAATGGGTCCCACCCTGCTGCCAGCCTGCAGCTGGGAGTTGGCAAGGGGTGTGGGGAGTGGGCGGCAAGGGGGGGTGGCTGTGGGGTGGAGGAGGATGGGGGGCTGTGGGTGGGGTTGTGTG